TGATAGGCTTGTTGGATGTATCGACGCCGAGACGGTGGACTGCGACTTGTGGATCTAAGCCACGCATCTAATGGTAATTCCAGGCAAAGACGTCCTGGTTTGCTCATAAGAAGGCAGTAACATTCTCCTTTTCTTCTGGTGACATATTTGATGACATGAAAGTGAGCATGGTGTCTGCTTCATCCCCTAGATTTATCTCCTCGAGTTCATCTGCTGTGGCCTGACCGCCTTCTTCCCATTCTTCTGGGGCTTCCTGCAACTCCTCATCATTGATTTGGAGGGCTTCTTGTTAACCTCTAGTGAAGATACCCATACTCCTGACATTTCTTCTTCTAGCCAGGCTTCGCTATGGAACATGGTTCTTGCATCCTCATCTTGTTTGCCGACGAAAGGATCAACTTCGAGCGGAGCCGATGTATCCGATTGAGGGAATTCATTCTGAGGTACCTGGGACGGCTGCGACTCAGTGATTGTACAAACAGCTAGTGCCTCATGAGGATCTTCTCGATGTTCCCATGTATCTATCATGGGTTTAGGTAATATGGTAGGTTGAGGGTCAGGTTTAGGAGGAGGGGGTTTATTTTGGCCTGCTGGCTTGGTTGCACAACCAGCTTGGTTTGGGGAGTCTGGGTGGATTCGGTGACAAGGATTTGTTTTAGTGGAGTGGAGCTTTGAGGTTGAGTCTTAGGAGGTGGTTGGGTATATGAGATCAGAGGCATCCCAGGGAATTTGAGGATGGGTGGATTGTCTGGGGTATTTGGGCTAGGAAGGATCCCATAGCTCTTAAGGATGGGTAGATTGTCTGGGGTATTTGGGTGAGGAAGAAGTGGTGGACCAAGAAACTTCAAGACGCTTGGCCTCTGAGGTGGAGGTTGCAGCGTTTTCCCTGATCTCAGACTCATTTGCCTCGTGCTGGGTGATGTTTCCGAAATTTGCACCATGTGGCAGGCTTCTTGAGAATAGAAGCTCTGTCCTCTTGATTCTCTCAACCTCTGTTCAAAGTCGGGCTTAGGGGGCCACTGGGGTTTCTTTGGTTTTGACTTCCTACACTTCCCAGTAGATGAGGATGGCTCTAACTTTACTCGAGCCGCCAGGGCATTTGCGACTGTAGAGAATCCAGCTGCCTGGGTTAGCGTCTTTCTCAGCCGTCTCTGGTGCGTCCTTTTTATATTGGTTCCTTCGAGTTCTCTATCTAGGGCCTCGAAGTCTGGACATTCCTGGGTTGTACCTACAGGAGACATAGAAGAGGAAGGGGCAGAAGAAGAAGAGGAAGAAGAAGAAGAAGGGGTAGAAGAAGAAGAGGAAGAAGAAGAAGAAGGGGTAGAAAAAGAAGAGGAAGACGAAGAAGAAGGGTTAGTAGGTGAGGGACTTTTAACGTCATCCCCCTCATCGGACTGATTTGGGCAGCTTTTTACGTCGTCACTGGAGTTGGACGTGTGCGAGGGATCTTTTGGGACTTTTCCTTGTTTAGACCGTTGGGGGGTGTTTTTAACGTCGTCACCCTTATTGGAAGTGCCCTGAGTAGAAGATGGCCTAGAGATGTCCTCCTGATGAGATGAGGGAGGAAGAATGATCGAGCCAGGGATGAAGTCCTGTAAGGTTAGCAATGGAGGAAGAGGCTTGAGAATTCTTACTCGGTCAATGGTTGAGGAATCTTGTTCTTCCAGGGAGCAGACCACGGATTGCCTCTCGCTTTAGGGACTTAAGTCAGCTCCACCCGTGACAGACTCTCCATGGCTGGGAAGTCAAGGGTTCAGCAGGATCAGAGGCATCAACATGGGAATCTTGCACTGAAGCATTCTCTTGGAAGGGGACATTGACTTGCAGATGATCTTCTGAGATGGCGTAAGCAATGTGACCTCTTTGCACCTTCTTAGCGGCTATGGCTTCGAACTCATAGCATTCGCTCAACTTGTGGCCCCATATTTGATGATACGGGTAGCAGTGATTCTCAGTTCCCTGAGCAAGGCGTGTGAGATGCCTTGCCAGCTTTGGTGTGACGAGTCCCTGTTGGAGCATCATACCGAACAAAGCCTGAAGGAGATCTGATGGTAGCTCATCAGAAGAGTGCATGCCTTCGCTTTCCTCCTGTATTGTCACCGCGTGGGAAACCTCAGTTCTCCGAATGCTTTCTTAAGTTCTTCGAGTTTTATCTGACCCTTCTGAATTAGAGCCTCGATGAAATCTTTGACTGTGTAGCATTCCTCTGTGGGGTGACTTATCCTTTGATGATAAGCACAGTAGTTTGCATGGGTGTCGAGTCCAGCTTGATCAGGAAACTTGCTCTCAGGCAGCTCAATCATGTTTTGCTCCAGTAATAGTCGGAGTAGTGCAGGAACCCATTCCTTTTCAAATGGATAAACCTTATTCTTATATTTGACCCAATAATCATCTCGACTAAGGTTCGCAGGTGGAGATACCCGGTTGTATGACTGTTGCTACTTGCTTGCCTGAGGCACTATTTGCGTCTTTGCTGTGCCTACCCCTTTGGAGAGGTCCAAAGTTTGGGAAGCGACCTTCTTCGGATCGCTAACGGTCATAGCTGCATTGATTACCCCTTTTTCCTAATTGCCCCGGGTGTTGGTCCGAGAATTGCCATTGCCCCGATTATTTTTCGAGCTTGAAGACTGTTGCCGTGATCCGCCATGGTGGTGTGACAGGCTCTCTATGCGAACTGACTTAGAGATCAGCTCTGACATGGACGTCGGATTGGAGGCCTCAATATATATGGCAATCTCAAGTCGCATGTTTCGTATACGTATACATGTCTCTTGACTGCTTCCTTCTCAGACATGGGATTAGAATGGTAAGCTGCCAAATCTCTCCATCTCGCTATGTACTGGTCCACAGGCTCGTCTGGTTCTTGGGTCAAGGTGAGAAGCTAGATGGTTTGGACCTCTCTTGACCTCATATAAGCGCTGGTAGAACAGTCGCTTCATTTCCTCTTAAGTATGTACTGGATTCGGGGGAAGCCGAGCATAGCACTGAAAGGCCGGGCCTCAAGAGTTTCAACTAACTGACGGAGGAGGAGTCTCCCATCAGCTGCTGTCACTCGACATGCCGCTTGGAAATGCACGATATGCTGGTGTGGGGCTATTGTACCATTGAACATGGGGAGCTTCCCTTTTTGGTAATCCGAGGGAAATAGAACCTGATCAATGTAGGAGGGGTACGACTTTTGGTAAACCGTTGTACCCTGCATTCTTGGGATTTGTCTGTTCTTTAAGCTGTATCTGTATGTGAAAACATTCAAGGGGCAAAGTTTTCTTACAAGGTCGGCGGGGAAGTCTGCTTTGGAGCTGCATCTGACGGGGGATGGAAATTTGCCTCATGGTGGGGCGAATTAGCTGCGTATCGCATGCTTTCCATGCGGTCAATCTTCTCCATCATGGTGCACACCATGCGTTCGAACTTGTCCATAAGCTCCTCTTGGGAGTCGTTTGGCTCGTTCACATTCATAACGCTGACTGTTTCTCTAGGGAGATCAGCTTTAGGTGCGGTTGAAGGCTTCTAAGCTTGGCGGGTCGTGTGTGGCAGATCGGTCAGCAAGGGCTCAACATACCTCGACTGAACTCCAGTCTTATATGCCGACCGCGTGAGGATTGGTTCTCGATGGTCTTGGGACCGTGGATGCTGGGTGGTCAAGTCATCTTCTATGACGCTGACCACTGTGCAAGATTCACACAGCTCTTCTTCAAGCTCTATCATCTGAAGAGGGTAGAAGGGATTCTAGTGAAGAGGGTCGTCGAAGTTGGTTGGCTCAACTATTTTAGTGGCTTCTTTGGTTAGGATTTGCAGACCCCTGTCGTGTTTGGCTTTGAGGCTTTGATAAACCTCATGCCAGAACTGTGATCGGGACTACGATTGGTCGGCTTTTCTTGCTCAAGAAAGAGCTGTCTCCATCAGATGAAGCAATGGGTGTGGGCTAGGAACTGGGGTCAACCTAGGTCGGGGAGGACGAAGGACTTGATCTCCCATTGGGTCTTTGCCCCGAGTTCTCTTATGGGCTCCAGAGACACGACCGAGCTGATGGGGCTGTCTCAAGATGGTACTCTTGGGGAAGGTCTTCGAGTACCAAAGCTCGAGGTGCTTGCGCGAAAGAGAAGGAGCAGGTGGGGGAAGGATCGACTCATGATGGCACCTGAGTAGGGAGTGAGGAGCGGTTCGTGAACGTGGCGCGTGTGCGCCTCTTGAAGAAGGATCACGGGTGACTTTGGGGTCAGCCCAGGCTCGAACAGTTGGTTTGGGCTTAGGAGGCCGAGAACTGCGAGCAGGTGTCTGTAAGGGAACAGGTGGAAGCCTGCGCCTTACAGGGTGCATTAGTGTGTGCTAAGAGGGAGGATGAGGGGGTCGTCTTCTGTGTACTCGTGTTGGTGCAGCGATGACGTTGCCCCGAGCAGTGAGATGCACATGTATATGTACAGGTTTTGGACAAGGAGGATCCTGGACACTTACTCGAGGTAACACAAGGGTTGCCCCGAGGTGTGGCTCGAGTGGATGACCCACAAGCCTTAGGGTGTGTGCGTGAGGTGGAGGCTTCAAGGTCTCCGCCTCGATGTGTTGAGTCTCTAAGCATAGAGACCCGAGGTGGTGTAGGAAAGTGGGGGGTAGCCTTGTGGCGACCCACAGGAGTAACAACAACCTTGCCTTTAGCAAAAAGGGAATGGGTAGCCTTTCGACGTACCTCGGCAATACGACCAGCAAGTGACTTGATGATTGTGGGGTGCATGCTGTGTGTGGTAGCATATGTACTACCGATGCAGAGTTCTTTGGTGGGGATTCCACCAGAGCTATGAGATGGGGAGTTAGGGACCTTCAAGTCCCTTCTCACTGGTTAGGTGCCTTGATCTCGCCCTCCGGGTCGGGTTGACCTGGTGGCATGGTTCTGGGTTCGAGATGGACCCGGGACCTGAGATCGTTCTCTCGCGAACCACGTAAAAAAGACATGGGCATGAGTACCAATTGATGAGAGAAGAATTAAAGCGTGAAGCGGGACTTACCTCATTTGGGTCCATGACACACTTGGGTTATCTCGCCTGGGCACCCTCTTAGATCACGTTGGAATGCCCCCTGGCCTGCGGTCGGTTTGTAATCGCCTCCCTTGACCTGTTTCTCTTTTCCTGCAAACACACACACATAAAAAATACAGAGGTGTGGGTCATAGGACCCAGCCATGTTATAAAGAGATAGAAGAAGTGAAAATGAGAGAAGAAGTTCGACTAGGCGGCTAGGCTGGCACAGTAGTTAGACCAGTACAGTGACTGATTTGACGTGGTAGCGAGACGGGCACGGTAACTCAGACTGGCACGATGGCAGAACCAGCATCAACTAGTCTGACATGATGGCTAGTCTGTCATGGCAGCAAGACGGGCACGATAACTCAGACCGGCACGACAGCAATACTGCTCGACGACAAGATTGGCACGACAGCTAGTCTGGCACAACGGCTAGTCTGACGCGGCAGCAAGATAAGCACGATAACTCAGACCGGCACAGCGGCAATACTGCTCGACGACAAGACTGGCACGATGGCTCAAGGCTCAGCCTGCCCTCTGGTCAAACAAGCAATGGAGAGAAAGAGAGGAAGTGAAGATTAGCTCGATTGTCGCTAGGTCTTCTAGAAAAGACGAAGGTGAAATAAAAGTGATGATGAAATAAGAATGATGGAAAACAAAGTGAAATGAAAATGAGAGTGATGAATTAAAATAAAATAAGATTAGAAGATGGAGTTAGGATGATAAAATGAAGTAAAGGAAAATAAAATAAAAGGGATAAAAGAAAATGAAATAAAATAAGATGGGGAAAATAAAATAAAAGAGGTGAATAAAATAAAATAAAATAAGTAATTAAAATGGAATAAGATAAAATCAATAAAGTAAATGAAATAAAATAGGATTGGGGAGAATAAGATAAAATGAATGGAGTAGAAGAAATAGGATTAAGATAAGCTAAGATTATAAAAATGGATGAGGTTAAAAAATAAAATAATAATAAAAGGTTTAATTGATCAAGGGAGAAGGGGGGTTTTATTACTAGGTTATTGAGTATTATGTGAATAAAGGAGAATAATGTTTGGATAAAGAAAGAGGGGTAATTAGAAATAAGATGGAATATGACGAATGTTTTAGAAGAGGATAGGAGGGATAAGATAATAATAAAATAAGAAAGTACTTTTGGTTTAGAGAGACAGAGGGCTATGCATTGAATTGTTGTGTGAATGAGGGAGGGTAATGTTAGATAATAAAAAAAAGATTAGTTGACAGAGAGAGGCTTGGGGTAATGGGTTTCTTTTGTTTGAACGAGAGGGTATAAAGTTAACTAATAAACAAAAGGGTAAGGTTGCTTAAGAGAGACAAGGGGACTTGAGGTTGGATGAAGTAAAGGGGGTGGACGAAATCAACGAAAACTTAAAACGAAAAGAAAGAGATGAAAAAAAACAAATCGGGTGTTTTGTATTGTGGGTTTTTAGAGATAGAGAAAATAGAAGTTTGCAGAGAGGAGCGTGGGGACGAAGGAAAGATGATCGAGAGGGGCTGGAGAGCGAAAGAGGCGGAGGTGGCTTAGCAAGGTTGGAGCTTGGTCACAGGCAGCAACAGAGGCTGTTGCCTGGTTGAAGGCGAGGGCGATGGTGAGGAAAGAGGAGGAAAGAAGGTGGCAGAGAGAGAGAACGCGGTTGGTTGCAGGTCGGAGGCGAAGAGAGAGAGACTCGCTATTGGGTTTTTTTTAGAGAGCGAGTAGCGCATGGGTGTATGAGTTGCAGGTTGCAGAAGAGAGAATGGGGTCGCGCGTGGTCGCGGAGAGAGCAGCTGGTGGCTGAGAGGAGCAGCAACGAGATGGCAGGGGTTGCTGGCCGGAAGAAAGGGCTGAGGCGCAGCTGAATGGGAAGGAGGTGATGGCAGCCGGGAATGGAGGAGTACAGAGAGGTGGCTGAGATGAGGGCGAAGCAACGAGATGGCAGAGGTCGCTGGCCGGAAGAAAGGGCTGAGGCGCAGCTGAACGGGAAGGAGGTGATGGCAGCCGGGAATAGAGAAGTATAGAGAGGTGGCTGAGATGAGGGCGAAGCAACGAGATGGCAGAGGTTGCTGGCCGGAAGAATGGGCTGAGGCGCAGCTGAATGGGAAGGAGGTGATGGCAGCCGGGAATGGAGGAGTACAGAGAGGTGGCTAAGATGAGGGCGAAGCAACGAGATGGCAGAGGTTGCTGGCCGGAAGAAAGGGCTGAGGCGCAGCTGAATGGGAATGAGGTGATGGCAGCCCGGAATGGAGGAGTACAGAGAGGTGGCTGAGATGAGGGCGAAGAATGGTGGAAAGGGGGGCAACAGCCGGGTTGAGTAGGGGTCCGAGATATTGGAGAGAGTAGCAAAGAGAAATAGTAAAGGTACCTGAGTGAGAGACAACGGTAGAGGAGGTCGCTGGTTTTTAGAGAGAAAGAACAACGAGAGGGTGGGTTGGTAGTGGCTGCAGGTGATGGAAGCAATAGCCGAGATTGGGGGAGACAGAGCTAGGATGGAGGCTGCTGACGAGAGATCGTGGCAGGTGATGAAGCAATAGCTGAGATTGGGGGAGACAGAGCTAGGATGGAGGCTGCTGACAAGAGATTGTGGCAGCAGACAAAGAGGGGGCTCATTAGTGGAGATCTAGTGGAGATCGAGCTTGGCAATGGGTTGCGGAGAGGAAGAAGAAGCGCACGGCGATGAGGTTGTAGCCGTGCACGGCGATGGGTTTTGGTCGTGAAGGGTTTATGTTTGTAGACACGGCATTGGGGTTATGTTTGCAAACACGGCGTCGGGGATGATTGCTCCGAAAACGTTGGGGTAGATTGTACATACGGCGTTGGGTAAAAAGGCTTAGGGAATAGTGGTCGCGTTGGACCATGGATCGTGAGAGGAAAAAGGAGATACGAGGGTGCATAATAGGGGTGTAAGGGATTATAACAAAAGAAGGGGACAGTAGGTGGACATGTAGGACTACCAAAAAGAAAAGAAGAAGGTGGACTCGAGCATGGACAGGGAGTAGGTGGGCGTATAGGGAGCATAAGGAGTGAAGAGGGAAGTGTGGTCATGAGGGATCACAAAGAAGAAAAGAGAGAGGAAGAGAAACAGGAAGAGTTAAACACGGACGACGATGGGTTCCATCGTCCATGAAAGAGGAGAGAGAAAGAGGGAGAAAGAGAAAAGAGAAAGAGAAAGGAGAGAGGAGAGAGAAGAGAAGAGAGAGAGGGGAGAGAAGAAAGAAGAGAGAGAGGTGAGAGAAGAAAGAGGAGAGAGAGTTACCCTAAGCTTAAGGGTTCTGTCTCAAAAATTTATCTCTTTTATCTCTCTCCAAAACGTGACCCAACAATGAAGAAAGATAGAAATTCTATTAAGCAAAATGGGTTTTTTGTACATTGGTATCACGTGATATATAACTTTTACTTAAATATGGGTGGATTAATCAAAATCCACCTTAATTGCTAAAATACAACTTAACTGAATTTAAAAAAAATCTAAAAATAAGGAAAAATAACGATTTTGGCCTTGCATATCAATTCTTGAAACTCCACTTCAGTCTTGTTGCACCGATGGAATGTGTGCGCTTTTCCTAGGCCGATTCGGGATTGCTCCAGCGATCATCCAACCAAAAGTTGATTGTTTTCTCGTTGAGCTCGAAATGACGATCGATTTAATACCCATTTCGAGTCACGGATCGCGTTTTTAGGCCACGATCATGCGATGCGAAATTTACAAGAAACTTGCGATTTTCGGATCGAGATTGCGCTCTTTTCTTGACGTGTCTTGATGATTTCTTCGTTGAATTACACTGAGCATACCTTCACGATCGCGTTGCAACAAACGTAGCTCGATTTTGTGCCCGAACGAAGATTTTGCACCTTTGGGTTTTTGGTCGGAATCTGAAATCTGGTGACCGAAATTTATAGGATATTTATCTGCTTCACGCGTAAAATTCGACCATTCATCTGCGAGAGGTTCGGCCTAGATGTAGCCTCATACCTTACGCACGCGATGGAACTGGTCCCGCATCAATCCGATTCGTGAGCTCTCTGCTCGAGCATCGCACGGGGCGTGCCACGTATCAAAATGCTCGTCTTGATGAGACGAACGCACTCACAAAATTTGAGCACGATCTGACTTGGGATGAGGGAGATATAGCATATGAAAGTCACTGCCCGAAACTATGAAAACAATCACCATTAATGGTGACTTGGTGCAGGTAGGGCACGAGGGAATCGTGTGCGGCCTACCCCTTTTCAGTCTTTTACCCATAACTTTGTCCTGGGGCGTTTGTTTGAGCCGAAACTTGACTCTTAGAGGTTTTCGACCGTGCTGGATCCAATAGTGGTGGTCCCATAGCCATTTGACGCACCGGACATAGAATTCTAGTTACGGGGTCCTTTTAAGGGTGAGGCTAATTTTTCCGAAACTGTTTCTTCACCTGCACTGCCTTAGATATGTCGGATTACAATGAAACTTGGCAGGTGACCTTTTGAAGTCCATAGGAACATTTTTATCCGTTCTAGGGCAATTCTAAGACTGTAAAAAATTCAACTGTAAGTCAGGGCTTTATTGATCGGCTTGTCCTTTATTCGGCATCGGGGACCCAAGGTGCTGAAAATTGTGTTCAAACACTCACACCTATCCAGGTTAGGACCTAGGATCTAGACACTGGGCCTTTGCTTGGAAGGAAAGTTGGGAACAAAGTTCGAGGAACTTGTTCTTATGGGAAGCTCGCGAATGCGGGAATGAGAAAATCCCCGATCCGGATGAATGGGTTAAGGAACCCAGAAGCCATGTGTGTGTAATACAGAAACACAAAAGAGAGATAACCAAATAAGGTCCATCCGACAAAGGGGTAGTGTGTCCCCAGTGGAGTCGCCAAGCTGGTTAGGTGCCTCGATCTCGCCCTACGGGTCGGGATGACCTGCTGGCATGTGCCTCGGGTTTCAAGGAGAACCCGAGACTTAAGACCGCTCTCTTGAGAACCTTGTTAAGAAACAAGAACGGGTACACCAACCGGTGAGAGAGGAATTTAATGTGAGGCGGGACACACCTCACCTGGGTCCGTGACTCACTCGGGCTAACTCGCGTGGACGCCCTCTTAGATTATGACGGAAAGCTCCCCAATCCTACAACTGGTTCAAAATCACCTCCCTTGACCTGTACTCTCCTGTTTATGCAATTATACATGCATGATTAATTTACAAGACAAGTGGGCTATGGGACCCCACCTTGTCTTTGAGTGAATGCAAACAGTTGTGCATATTCAAAGAAGAAAGGGAAGAAGTGATGAGATGAAGATTGGGGTTATGAAAGGAGAAGAAAGAAATAGAATAGAGAAAAGAAAGAGACATTTGACCGGGTGGCTAGCTTGACACAATGGCAAGACTGGTATTGTGATTGACCTGGCGTGGTAGCAAGACGGGCACGGTAACTCAGACCGACACGGCGGCAATACTACTCGATGTAGAACCAACACCAACCAGCTTGACACAATGGCGAGTTTGACGTGGCAGTAAGATATGCACGGTAATTTAGACCGGCACAGTGGCAATATTGCTCGACGACGAGATTACCATGATAGTGTTGACTTAGCCTATCACTTGGTCAAACAAGAGAGGAGGGAGAAAGAAGAGAGAGAATAAAGAAAGAGAGGAAAGAGAAGAGACAAGGGAGAATACATAATAGTGAGAAGAA